CTTTTTTGGTAAGAGTAGCAGGAAACCAAGCTTTACTTGGTAGTGTTTAATTAGTTTAGGAGGATAACAATATAAAGCATACATGTTTATAATTTCCAACATAAGTTGGTTTTCATAAAAAACAATAGACAAAAAACATTTTTAATCAAAAACAATAATATAAAAATACTAATATAAAATTGTATTTTAATATTATTGTACAATCTCAAGTATTGGAGCAAAATTTATGCAACATTTTATTAACAATTTTCTCTTCTTGTGTCTTTAAATTAAAAACCGTTGTAAATAATTTATAATTTTAAAAAATAAGTTACGTTTTGAAACCTACTCACTAAAAAAATGGGGCTTTGACTTTTCTCTCAAAAACTTTACTGTAGACCTATTAACTCATATCAACTATGACAATTTTGATTAACCCTTTGAGTGCCAACGTCCGGGGAACCGGACGTTTTTAAAACGAGCCAAAAGTGCCAACGTCCGGCCGACCGGACGTTTTTAGAACGAGCCAAAAGTGCCAACGTCCGGCTGACCGGACGTTTCGTAATGATCGAACAGCTGTCATAACAACCGAATGGATACTCGGATTCTTTTAACCCATATATTAACATTGAGTCGAAAGTTACTAGATGCGATACATCGATTTTCGTTGGTCGAAATATCGAAAATTCGATTTTTACGAAATTTTAACCTAAAAATCGCCAGATCGCGCTCGGCACTTTTAGCGCGACCTTCGGGAAAAATCATCGGCATTTTTGAGCGTTACTTTTATTTCTCGCCTGGCACTCTAAGGGTTAAAAAACATGTGACAAATTAAAAATGGGGATGGAATCTATAGAGTTGTATCAGTAGTCAAAGGTTTTACCTACCTTCAGATTGTAAGTACATAGAGTCCCACTTATCCAAACCAACTGGGATTAGACCCTGTTCGGATAACCGAATTGTTCAGATCAACAAGAAATGCAGTAAAATACTTTATTACTGTCAATTGCTTTCAGGATCATGTGTAAAAACCTGATCATCGTCTCCACATGGTGTAGTGGAGAGGGGAAGAACAAAATAAAACCATCCCCGATTGAAATATAACAGCATATACGAGTGACACTCCAGCTTTCAAACTGTACAATTGCTGTACTCACAGGTTTATAGATAGCTTTTGTTGGCTGATCTCTAATTGCTCACCAGGGCCGTATTTAGAATCTATGAGGCCCCTCTATATTCTGATTCTTCAAAGGGGGAAACGGAGGGAGTGCCGTTCTACTCTTTGCCGAGGGGTTCATAAACTGTCAAAACCTTCAGATAGGCCCGAGTGCCGTTTGACTCACCAGATCGTAAGAGTGATTCAGGTGAGGGGTATTAGTGGAAGGGGGTTTAGTGCTTAGGATGTTTCGGTGACTGGGTACAGTTTCTTAAATATCAATTCGATTAATAAACCTTCATTCAATTTTTCCCTATCAACAAATTTGGTTAGGTTAGATTATAACAGTTTCATTTTATTCCTAAAACACATTTTGCTCACCCCCCCCCCCCCCCCTGGTTGATATTTCCACCCCCATACCCTCCACACCGTGGAACTGGTCACTGATACCTGGCCGGCACTCGTCCCGCCAAGCCTCAGGCTGTACCTAAAATGACTATCGTCAAAGTGTTTAGGCAAACGGCACTCGGCCCTGCACTCCTTCAAAGGTTGGAACTTAAGGCTTAGAAATACACGTGGTATTGCTTCAACTCGATGAAGTGACCTTTTTTTTCCAACAATACGATTGGCAAAAGACCTTAGAGAACTATTTAATAAATAAGTATATTGGTTTTTTTCTAATATTAGGGGTCATAGGTCAGGGCCAGAAATTTTTCATTTGTTGAGTCAAAAATGTTGACCTTTGAGCATCGGATCAAAATTGGGTAGTTTTGGAATTAGTTAATAAATAAAAATATTAATTGATATACATACTTAATCGGTTCATACAAAATCAGTAATCATGGCCAAATTGTAGGCCTCTACTGTGGTCGCGGTAAATTGTGGACATCTGCCGTGATCGCGGAGGGATCGTGAACATCTTCTACGTTCGCGGCAAAATAGTGAACATGCCCGATCGCGGGGATATCATTTTCATCTTCTGCGTTCGCGGCGAAATCATGAATGTCTCCTGTGGTTGCAGAAAACAGTGAACATCTTGCGTGATCGCGGAGACATCATCTTGGTTTCCTCTGATCACGGCGGAATCATGAACGACTCATATGGCTGCGGAGAAATATTTAGCATTGTGGCTATATAGTTTTCCCACTATAGTTCGGCCGCTTAGAAAGCGACCTCCTCCAGCATTGGTTTAGCATTAGCGCGCAGGTCGTTTTCTAAGCGGCCGAACTATAATATGAATCTGCTACTTACTGTCTCAACTGTACTTTAAATGTAAAATTATCATATGATCAGCTGACTTCTTGTATTATTGTAGTTCTTTCTTAATACAAAAGTGTTTCAATGATTTATAATAAAGTGTTTTTATTGAAAAATTTGTTGTTGAGAGTGCTTAACAGCTATTTTTAATGTTCCAGAGTCAATTTTTTGTATTACATAGTGATAGTATTTACTTATTGTTCAGTATATAATAGAACAGATTGTAAATTAAATAAATAAAAAAATAAAAAAAATATTTATAATCTCTTCTTTTAATTACTTTATTTAGTTTTAGTATATTCACATGGTGGAAGGAAAAAACATAGGTGTGCTATTCCCACATAAAATTCTGACGTTTTGATTTGGTTGTTATTGTTTTTATTATTATAAAAACAATAACAATCAAATCAAAACAAAGGATAGCCTAAGGTTCACTACGATACTCGGACAGAATACGATTGAATCGATCTATCGAGAGTCTGCAATTACACTATCGATATTGAATTGTGTACACTATCGATATCGGATTCGAGTTTGTTGTTGGATCTGAGTCTGTGAGTATTGAGTTTTCAATTCCAATCGGATTCAAATCATCTACTCAATCCACCTCTACAAACAAAACAAACTAACTGTAGACCTAAGCTTAAAAGTGTGTTTACACTAAAGTTTACTTATAACTAGGTAGTGTCGAAAGTATACCATTTCTTTGCAAGATATACGAATTTATATAATTAAAAGTTGCAACTACAATGGTGAATATTAATAAATTAACTAATAATTATTAATTGAAGTTTTAACGAATTGGGATCAGTTGCTGAAGAGGTCTAAATCCGAAAGTCTAATTAGATATTCGGCACACTTCCACATGTGTCTGTGTGTGTGTTTACAGACCTATGAAGTCCAATTTAATGTCATTTTGTTTGTAGGTCCTTGGCATCTCCAGGCATTTTTATAATTTTGAAAAATTTGAATTTCGATGATTTTCAATAGAATACAGGAAAAATACAATTTTCTCAAAAACTATTTTAAGTTGATAGGTATTTTAGTATGTTACCTAGTGTTTTAAATTTTTAACAAAATGGTATCCCATACCTGTAAAAGTTACAATTACTTTCCCATTATGTAACAAAAAATGTTTAATAAGGTGTATAATAATTCTTAACAAAATAACACAACCCCCATTGTTGGTTTGAATTTTAATTTTGTAATTGCTGTAACAGTTGCAGTTCAAGTAAAAAGCTTTTAGCACCATCTGTTCAATTCATATACAGTAGAACCTCGATAACAAGTCGACCTTGATAACAAGGGTTATTTTCAAATCCCCTTGAAATTATTTTACCCCTAATCATATGTTATTGCAAACCTTGATAAGAAGTCAACCTTGATCACAAGTCTTATTTTATAATCCTTATAAGAGTCTTATTATCAAGGTTCTACTGTAAATTATAGCCTATACCTTAGATAAAACATACCCTTAGACTTGTGATGCTTAGTTTAGTCTATGCCTATACACATATAATTCAAAGTCAAAATTAAGAGTCAAAATAATCCAATTATGATGAAATTAGTTACAAACGTGTAAAACAACGTATGTTGTAGCGTTCCGTTCGTGAACCAGCATGATCGGACTATGAGCAGAGGTAAAAATGGGGAATGGGGTTTCCTCATCCTTGACCTTATAAAAACTTCAAACATCTTTATAAATAATTCATTAGATGTAAAAAAAATATTAATCTATATTGCAGATAGCTAAATGGTTACCAGTGGGTTGAAAAATAAAAATAGCATGAAAATAACTTGTTATTTTGAAGTAGAATATTAAGTAAACTTGTAGGTTGTGTTTTGGCTTGTTTATGGATATTTTACTTTAATTTAAATTTTTTGTACAATTCAATACCAATCTAAGTAGGCCTACATTTTACCAAGAACACACTTTACCTTCCCTGTATCTTATAATGCTATATCAGCAAACATAGCCTACATATTTTAAAACAAGAAAACAAATCTTACATTGATTGAAATGGGTGATAATTATACTACACTTTTCAGTACCTACCAAAAAACATTTTTTTATGGCAATTAAATATTTTTTTAAGATTTTATTGAAGGAAAGACTTATTTCAAATAATTATATTCCCACTTGGTGTGAACAATTTAAGTTTTGTTGACTGATAGGCCTACTATGATTAGTGCACTTTATAATCAAGCTTCCACTTTATACTTGACTGTGTGGTAATTTATAATAGAATATATATAAAAGATAAATAAAATATATAATTAAGATGTTTTTGTAAATAATTTAAATTAGACATAGTTAACACAAAACGATAAGAGAATATTTTAGTATTTGATTTGATAAAAGAAGTATAATATCAAGAGGGTTATCCCAATCGAGATGGCTCTCAATTAATTATTTAGTTTTTATTATTATATAAAATTGTTTTTCTATCATTTGTGTTCACTTATTTACATTAAGTTTCTCTATAACCTCTACAGAGAGGACAAGAACACAAGAATGCAATACAAGAGTACTTTATTTTACAATTTTTAAGATTGAAAAAGGCATCAATACAATATGTTATCGATTAAAAATCTGTTGATTGGAGTCCTTGCAGTAGAAAGATGATTTAACTTGTAACGTAGTCACTCTAGTTGCTGCCAAGACAAATATTCATCAATGCTGTAGAAAGGTCTAAGTAACAGCCCGAACATCCCCTGTGATGTTCCTTCTTCAGTCTTCTAGAACAGAGAAACTTTACATGTTATTTAAATAAGGAGGCTCGTGTAGGATGAATGAACATTAAATTCTCCTCGCCTAGAATGCAATGTTAAAACTTAAACGTGTCTATTTGGGTTGAATGGAGCATGTTCTCGAGAAATTAACATTTGCAGACAAACTGCTAAAGTTCATTGAACATCCACAACATTTTATTCACTTGTATTTAAGTACGAGTTAGAAAGCAGTTTTATAAATTAACATAATTTAATTAAAATGACCCTTTTGACCAGATTTATTTCTACCTCAAATCATGGTTCTCTCAGTAATTAACAGTTCAACTTCACTTTTTAATGAACAAAGACAGCTTATGGTTTACAAAAAATATAACCCATACCTATTTTAAAATCAAGACTAATGCAGGTTTATTTTAGCAATAGCAATGGTTTATCTGTATTAGGCCTAAGCCTAATTTTGATTTTAAATAGTGCCGCAGATGCTTTTATTTATGATCACATTACCTTAATGCAATATATTTGCATGAAATTGGTTAAAGCTTATATGCCTATTCTACCAATTTTGCTGTCCCGTTATATTTTATCTTCCAACTAAATTAATTCTCAATTTTTTCCCACATTAAAATACTATAATGCAGTGGGCGGTTCCAAGAGGTGGAGGGCTATAGGAGCAAGAGCCCTCCCCATTAGAATCTGACTCTGGAAATATAAAGCCGGGTTTACACTATGTAGCAAAACCTGCTATATAGCAGATTTGTGTAACATCTAGCAATGTTATATAACATTTGCTAGAAGTAGAAAAAGTCACTTTTCAAAAGTGCTATATAACACTGCTATATGTAGCAGATTCTGCTATATATAGCAAAAATTGTGCTATCCATCGGGAGTCGGTAAAGATCAAAAGAAATGCATGCTACATCTAACATTGCTATATGTAGCAATGTTATACAAATATTTTTCGTATAGCATCTGCTATATGTAGCATTTAGTGTCAACAGTTCACAAAAGTTCACAGTTGTAGCCTCCTGTGTACGGACGTTTTTGCTCGGGGATCTTTGTTTACAATGGAAAGACTGTAAAGCGACAGTGCGTGGGATCGGGATGCTATTATAAACTTTAATTGAACTGTTCCGTGGACAACCGGCGTTGTGGTCATACGTAAAACATTTTTGAATCTACCATCGTCTTATTTCGCGTTTTAATTATGGATCGCTTCCGCTTCTGACTTCCGATCACCGTGATAGCTGCCTCGAACAATGTCTCTTCGGCTCGACATTTTCGATACAGAATGTAAATGAGGTTTTGCTACATATAACATATAGCACGGGCACCGAATCACAAAATTGTCTGTAACTTTTTTGTATCATAAAAGTTATATAGCAATGTTATATAGCAAAAGTTATATAACAACTAGCTGACCCGGCGAACTTCATATCGCCTAAGTTATAGGTTTCCCCTAAGACAGATCCACCCGGCAGACGTTGTCTTGCCTTTGACTATTTATAATTTAAGTACCGTTACGTTTAATTTTCAAGATGATCTCGTTCGCATCGCTCAATCACGTCCTGGTTGAAGTTCGTTCGCTACGCTCACTCACCTTTGGGTTGGAGCTCGTTCGCTACGCTCACTCACCTTTAGGTTGGAGCTCGTTCGCTGCGCTCACTTGCCTTCAGGTTAGCTCGTTCGCTACGCTCACTCGCCTCCAGGTTGAAGTTCGTTCGCTACGCTCACTCACCTTTTGGTTGCAAATTAGCTGTTGTCATAAATGTAAAAGAAATAATAGTGCTGCACCCTGTTGGTAATCCTTGTAACTTTAATGCTATTGAACATCATGGTGAGAACAGAACCAACTTGTTTAATTGAAACAGCTGTTAAGATTCATTAATTCTATTTCTCATAAGGTTAACATGGGAAACTCCAGAGCCACTGGGGCGGAGCCCTTTTAAGAATTTCGAAACGGGAAATAGTTTACGTCCGATTCGCATACCTACAGAATTTACACACCAAATTTCATAACGATCGGTGAAGTCGTTCCGGAGGAGTTTGCAGACAAACACTGTGACACGAGAATTTTATATATTAGATGTTATATAGCAAAAGTTATATAGCAGTTTTTGCTACAAAGTGTAAACCCGGCTTTAGTTTAAACATAAATTTTGTCATAAATAGGTGACAGAGGTTTTGGAACACAGTCCGAGACGTAAAAAAAGTTTTAAAAATAGCATATTTTCCTAAGGTGAACCCCTGAAACCCCCTCCTAATGTTAATCACCCCTGTTAGCCCTTCACAACGTTCTAATCTAGAACCACCACTAATATGACAACCCTACATGGGATCAGAGGCTGTATATAAAATGTTAATACTATAAATAAACAATTTAAACAAATAAATGTCTTACCTGTTCACCGCTGGATTTATTTATTACGTAATAGAGAGATCTGATGGAAATAAAAATTCTTGATTCTTGATCTGTGACCACACTCAAATGCATTTTACGAATGTTGGTTAGAGGTACGCAAACTTGAAATCTGACTAGGCCTAGAGTCGGTTGATTAGGGTATGAACCTGCAAAAACATTAAAAAGCTTCTAGTCAATCAATTTTAAAACATCAATCTACAATTCCAAAGAGAATAGCTAAGATATTATTGATGGAATAACTTATTAAGTTATTTATGGTATTACATAATGGAATAACTTATTACATCTTATAGCCTAAACTATCGAATAAACTTAAAATATAGTAAGTTTAATCAATAGCCTATTAAGTTACGTAGGCCTATAAGTTATTGAATTTCAATATTGATTTGATGTTAACTTATGAGGATTCTCAAGTAGATAATATAAAATAATGTTAAAATAAGAAACATAATGTACTTGTTAGTTCTTATTTCTGTGACTCTATTCATGTATGTATGTACAGTTTGAATAAAGATGATTTGATTTGATTTGATTTAGATTATCGCCATTGACTATATATAATTTAGGCCCAACCTACAGGTAACTTGTATATAGTAGGTATATATAACTTGGTCAATATTATCGCCCACCAATCTATAACAGTGTGCTGTAGCTTTAAAATTAACTTAACTTAGGTTAAGTAGCTAACAAAACTTACAAAAAAGGATATATGTACGATTACAAATTGAGGTCCAAGTGTAAATTTATTTGTTTAAAAACAATTACTAGATATATCTTAGCATACTTATCAACTCTTGTGTGTATACAATTTACATACAGTAGGCCTTGATTGTAATTATCTTAAACTAACGTACCGGTAACTTAAACTAAGCCAAAGCGAAATGTTAGGGTAGGCCTACTTTGGTATTATCCGGAGGCCAATTATTTTAGAGGGATTTTTTACTGGAGAGTCCAAAAATAACTACATAGGCTACTGTAATAGGGAAAAACCTGCTTTAAATAGACTGACTGTCCAAATTTGACATGATTACAATTAGCGGCCTTTGAGTTCTGTCTCCCAGAAAAAAAGGCAGCGATGTTGGCGAGGATTGAGTTGAATGCGTCGCTGCCGCTATACTCCGCCAAGCAGGTATGCAGCACGCTGCGGCGGTCATGATAGTTTGGATTATCATAAATATGTTTATAAAACTTTACTCGTTTCGTTATAAATTGAACTATACCAAATGAGTCTTACTTTCGCCCGCCAAATACCCCAGATACAGGTGGTAACAGGTGATGAATGCTCCGGTCAATGACCTGGCTAAGTACTTGAGGGGATATGGCGTACAAAAGTAATTTATGACTCATCTGGTATTGTAAGATTCATAAAGAAATTAGGAAAGTCCTGCAAACAAACATATTTGTGAAAACCAAACCTAACATAATTGCGGGCTGCACTTTACTTGACGTCCTACACTCATTCGATTGGTTGTTCGATTTGATATTTTCATTCGATTCTTTCATTCGATATATCGTTTGGTTAGTTAGGTTAGGTTAACCTTACCTAACTAACCAAACGATACATCGAATGAAGCAATCGATTAATCGATATATCGATCGATATTTTCATTCGAATGAGTGTAGGACGTCAAGTAAAGTGCAGCCTAATTGCGCTGTGTAAGGGTGGCCTCCGGATAATACCAAAGTACCCAACTTAACCGCCACAGCACGTGTTAACGAGTCTTTTTGAAAAGCATAAGTAACTTAAGGCTACCTATCGATTCAATCGCTCTGACAACTGCAAAAAATTGCAACCAAGCAGCATCTTAGGAAACGACTACAACGACTGGGACGGGTGGCGTCGTCCTGTAATCCAGCTACTGGGAGGTCACGAATTGTGGATATTTATAGGGATGCACTGTGGATGCGATGCTCCCTGGTGTGGATTAACGTCCGCACTAGTGAGTACTACGACTATCCGCAGTATTATCCTGATAATTAGACCAATTCGTAAATTACAAGGAAAAATGTGGTTCGGATTCCACTATAAACTGTAGGTCCCTTAGTTGCCATTAGCTGTATGGGCTATTAATTAACAGCTGTGTCTAAGGAACATGTCGGCCTTAGTCACTAACAAGACTACAAGATTGCTCCACTCATCCTACACTCATCCTTCACTCATATTTGGGTTAAAATACGCACATAGTGGCGTCCCCATCTTAAATAATTGAATTGAATTGAATTGAATTGACTTAAGATAAGTTAAGCTTTCATAACTTTAATGTTCTTAAGAAACCGATTAAATCTTACTGATAATCCTAAAAATGTTTTCAAACTTCATCAAGTCCCTACGTTAACCTTATTAGGTACAATTACCTTACCGCCACTCCTCAGAATATTCTGATTAATACTTTCAAGGCTTAGAGGTTAATAATCTAAGTTAATCTATTTAATTTTAGTCAATTATCAAATCAAGGAGACAATAACATGAATGAACTTATTAGGTAACTTAATAGCCACGAATACTTAAAGTATTCGTGGTAAATAACATATTTCTACCTGTACTTCTCGTGGAAAAAGAAAATCCATTTGATGCCAGACAAACAAACATACCTACGTGTATCGTGTACCTGGCTACCTCCAACAACTATGAGTCACACAAAAATGACAATGTCATTAATGTCAACAATAAAAACATTACACGTACACGTAAACGTAAACAAACATAGAGGATAGGATACGATCACTGAGCTATAACATTAGCTCAGTGGATACGATACGAGATACGTCACGATAATTCCGTCGTCATAGAACCGATTCGACTTCAGTAAGAAAGATCGCAGAGTCACGATAGATCGATTCAATCGTATTCTGTCCGAGTATCGTAGTGAACCCTAGGCTATCCCAAAACAAATACATACTAATTTGATAGTTACAATCAGGTGATCTTTTGTTTGCAATCCGAGTGACGTCAGAATATGTGGGAATAGCACACCTATGTTTTTTCCTTCCACCATGGATATTCATATAAGGCATTATCCTTATTTGGTGACCCCTTATTATACTTGTTATTGTCAATAATTCAATTAGACTATCATGAGTAATCAAGAATCTTCCCCAACTCCTAGTACACCAGAGATTTGTGGCTTCACAAATCTCACCAATTCAAGTGAAAATTCCACCATTTTGGACTAAAAAGGTTTCACCTTGGTTTCATTGAATTGAATGTCAATTTTCTCCTCATGGAATTTCAAAACACAGAAGACTTTCATGATTAGAGGAGAGGATGATGACATACATACACGTTTGTACCAAATTTCATCAAAATCGGATCATTTTTGCTCGAGTTATCGCGCTAATGGACACACATATATATAGAAGAGAAAAACATGCTTTATTTTTTACAAAAACATTGACAACATTAAATAAAATCATAAATCAACAATGGTTATAAAACTGTCTGTTGTGGTTGGCACAATACAATATTCTTTTAGTAATTTTGAGTAACTTTTAGAGATTAATATTATTTTTTACTGTAAAATAATATCAATTTCTAAAAGTATAAAAATGTAAAGCTACTTGAAAACACATTCAAGTATTTTTAAGTACTCTGAGCATGAGGATGAGAGACAGACAATTTGTTACATACAGTCAACTAAATACAATTAATATGAAATGCATAAAACAAGGAATGAACAGAAGGACAAAACTGATATCTAATTATACAACGCTCCAGTCAAAGCTAAATTCTTTATCAATACCCATCAATATTTCCAAAGCGGCTTTCAAATGTTTAGCAAGTATCCGCCAATTCATCCCATTTAAATATAATCTACAATTCATTGGACTTATAGTTTGTTCCACAAAAAACTGTTTTCTTAAATGCTAAAAGACAGGACATTTTGTTGAAGATCAATTCTAATGTACATGGAAATATTGTTCAAATGTATTTGAATTTGGAACATATGGTATTATTTCATACGTTAAATAATATTAATATAGTTCGGCCGCTTAGAAAACGACCTCCTCCAGCATTGGTTTAGCATTAGCGCGCAGGTCGTTTTCTAAGCGGCCGAGCTATAGTGATTGTTCCAATGTAGTAAATAGTTGTTGGTTTCCTAGTCTCCCATTTTTTTATAAAATTAAAACCTTTGTTTCCTACTAATAACACATTTGGCTATGAAGTGAATTAAATGTTGTTTCATTTTCCAGAAGGTTGCATAACGAACATAAATAATTTCGTCCTAACCACTTGGCTTATAGTATAAATCGATATTATGGCCCAAGAGATAATGGCAACATTGTTATCACAGAGTGGACTCTTGTTGCCAAGCTCAAGGTCAAGGGACAGCAACTGATGTGGTAAAGACATACGCCCTACCTACACCTGTCCACCATACGGCTTTTAAGTGTTCCTTTACACTGGAACACTTTTTTCCCCCTTTACATTCCTCTTCTAAAACTGTAAAATCACCGGGATCCAAATTCAAATTAATATTCAACTCACATTTTTTAGCCATTGATTTCCATTTGCGGCTCCAGTAAATGTATTTTTTTATGATTAGTTAAGCTAGAATGTAAGGTAGGTGATAGTTAGATAATGAAAAAACTTTTTGAGTATAATCAATGTGTGAAGACATGGTATGAAAGAATAATTTTTTTATATAAATATATATAAATATTTGAACGGAGGGTTTTTGGCCTCTGATGGGGACCTCAAAACAAAATCATCTAGGTCTTACCATGAGACCTACGGTAATAGCTTATATTGGGAAATTCGCTAACTTAAAACTTATTATTTCCTCTTGGAAAAAAATAGATAAGCATAAAGTAAACCTAAGCTTCCAGAATGAAGTCAATACAACACCTTAATCATTATACCAGCTTCTAGCTTAAAGTGTGCTCTTTGATTTGGAATTAGTGAAGTCTGCAAATGCATCCTAGAATATAAAAGTCATCCTTTATAAGACCTCAAGCTATATATAATAGACAGCAGCAAATTTTTAGTACATTTTGGGTTAAACTTCCACCATTGACTAAATTGGATACTGAAGTAGACATCCCATCTATGGACCAGCTGTAGCCAATTTTTTATGAAAAAAGAACATAGTTGTGTGAGTCAGTCACAGAATGTGCTAGTGTCTAAAACGTCTATTATTGAGAGAAGCGAGCGAAGCTCTTATACGTTGACTCTTATGCATTTCGTAATACGCAAACTCCTCCTAGACGGCTGAATCAATCATTTTCAAATTTTGCATGGTGATAAAGACCATATCGGTGAGTGCCAACATCTATATGGCGTTAAAAAAATCTCTCAGGAATCCGCCCCACTGGGTCTCAAAGTTTCAATGTAATCCTTATGGAAGCAGTATTTGACACATAAACAAAAACATATGATCAGATTTAGGTATCTGCAATCCAAAATGCTATTGGAAGGGATTGAAACAGGTCCGCGACGTAGGAAGTGGTGAAGAAAGTAGTAAAGTCGAGCTGTTCGGTATATGGGATCTGTTTATGACCATTAGATTAAGGTATTTGCAATCCTAAAATGCTATGGGAAAGGAGGAAAACAGGTCCGCGACGTAGGAAGTGGTGAAGGAAGTAGTCAAGGCGAGCTGTCCGGAATGTGGAAACTGTTTATGACGATTGAATAAGTTATCTACAAATCTAAAATGCTATGGGAAGGGAGGAAAACAGGTCCGTGACGTAGGAAGTGGTGAAGGAAGTAGTAAAGGCGAGCTGTGGGGGTATGGGATCTGTTTTTGACCAATAAGGTATTTGCAATCCTAAAATTCTGTGGGAAGGGAGGGAAACAGGTCCGTGACGTAGGAAGTGGTGAAGGAAGTAGTAAAGGCGAGTCGTGCGGAGTGTGGGATCTGTTTATGACCAATAGATTAAGGTATTTTCAATCCAATAATGCTAAGGGAAGGGAGGTAAACAGGTCCGTGACGTAGGAAGTGGTAAAGGAAGTAGTAAATGCGAGCTGTCCGGAGATTGTGAACTGTTTATGACCAATAGATTAAGGTATTTTCAATCCAATAATGCTAAGGGAAGGGAGGTAAACTGGTCCGTGACGTAGGAAGTGGTGAAGGAAGTAGTAAAGGCGAGTTGTCCGGGGTATGGAATCTGTTTATGACCATTATATTAAGGTATTTGCAATCCTATGATGCTATGGCAATGGAGGGAATCAGGTCCGTGACGTAGGAAGTGGTGAAGGAAGTAGTAAAGGCAAGCACTCCGGACTGTGGGAACTGTTTATGACGATTAGATTAAGGTATCTGGTATCTTCAATCCTAAAATGCTATGGAGAGGGAGGGAAATAGTAAAGTCGAGTTGTCCGGAGTGTGGGAACTGTTTATGACGATTAGATTAAGGTATCTGCAATCCTAAAATGCTATGGAAAGGGAGGGAAACAGGTCCGTGACGTAGGAAGTGGTGAAGGAAGTAGTAAAGGCAAGCTGTCCGGAGTGTGGGAACTGTTTATGACGATTAGATTAAGTTATCTGCAATCCTAAAATGCTACGGAAAGGGAGGGAAACAGGTCCGTTACGTAGGAAGTGGTGAAGAAAGTAGTCAAGGCGAGCTGTCCGGGGTTGTGGGAACTGTTTATGACGATTAGATTAAGGTATCTTCAATCTTAAAATTCTATGGAAAGAGAGTGAAACAGGTCCGCGACGTAAGAAGAGGTGAAGGAAGTAGTAAGGTGAGCAGTTTGGAGTGTGGGAACTGGAAACCGTTTGTAGCAGTTAGATTAATGTACCTGCAATGCTAAAATGCTATGAGAAGGGATGGAAACATGCCCACGACATAGAAAATGGTGAAAGAAGTAGTAAAGGCTAGCAGTGCGGAGTGTGGTCAATGTTTGTGGCAATTAGATTAACGTATCTAAAATACTAAAATGCTATGGAAAGTGATGAAAACAGGTACACGATGTAGGAAGTGGCTTAGGAAATAGTAAAGTATGAGCATAAGGTGGGAACCATCTGTGGCAGTTAGATTAATGTATCTTCAATCCTAAAATGCTATGAGAAGGCAAGAAAAGAGGCCCCTCGACGTAGGAAGTGGTGAAGGAAGTAGTAAAGGCTGGCAGTGCAGAGTGGGGGAACCGTTTGGGCAGTTAGATAAATGTATCTAATACTTAAATGTTATGAGAAGGGAAGGAAACAGGTCTATGACGTTGGAAATGGCGAATGAAGTAGTAAGGCTTGCAGTGCAGAGTGTGGGAACTGTCTTTGACAATTACATTAATGTATCTGCAATAAAGGCTATGGGAAGAGGGGAAAACAGGTCCACGACGTAGGGGGTGGTGAAGGAAGTAGTAAAGGTGAGCAGTGTTGAGTGTGGGAATGGATTAATTTAACCGCAATTCTAAAATGCTATGGGAAGAGACTGTAGACTGTTGGTTAAAATTATTACGAAGCACGAATCGATACATGTTTCGATACATGCAATCGTTTAAAATAGAAATTTACAAATGAGTTGACAACAGCTGATTTTTACTCCATAGAGGCTAAAAACGATTTTTACTCCCTAAATAGTAAAAATGCTACTTTTACTGCTACATACGATTGTTTTTACTGCAGTATTACAAAAACAATATAATATGAACCCTTGATGACTCCGCTCAATTTTGTGGATGCCTCTGCGAACGCCACCTAGTATACCTTATTTTTTGTTGCTGACCAGGGGCCCATTTCATAATAAACTACAAGTTACAACTTGTAACTTGTAATTTCCATTAGATTTGCATTGGGCGATCAACTGATTTACTAATAATATTAGTTTGTACTTTATTATGAAATGGGCCCCAGGTTGATGGGTCATAAAAGTAGCTATAGCTCACCATAAGTCATTCCCTAAGTTTAACTTGGTAAAAAAGCATGTGTATTCCACAGAATTTAGTGCGTAATTTAGATTAGCGTAATCCGTCAGTGGCTCACATCAACAACAAAGGTTTTGATAAAAAAATCTGGCTACAAATTTAACATGGGGATGGAATGTCTAGTTGTATAAATAGTCAAAGCTTCCACGTTAATTAAATCCATAGGGAAGCATTTTTCAGTGAATGATCATTGAAAGTCAAGTGTTAGAAACGCAGTATTGTTAATATTATATTATGATTCCTCACCCAAGATCATTAATAAAGGTCTAATTAATTGATTATATAGATTTTGTTCTCTAAACACTATAATATTTTATAGTGGTATCTATATCTATCTATTATAGTGGTATCTATGGATAGTGGTATCCATAACTGTTGCAGCACCCACAGCTAGTTAATATTGACAGAACCCACAGAAATCAAAGACGTACTATCAGTAACTAAAGCTCATGGCATGTTTTTGAAATCACTAATCTTAAAATAAGTGACAACACAAAAACATAGTTTTTTGTAATATTATTAAATAACTTTTTATAGTATACACTCTATAGTAAATGATTTATTATTTATTTGGCTTTAAATTATTATATGTGTGTAGTTTTCAGCTGTATATCATTAATATTTTAAATCTAATTGTTGAGGACAATAATATTTGTGGTGGGTGAATTGGAACATCAACTCAATTTTTTATCTCAATTTTAAAAGTTAAATATTCTATTGAATTTCCCCTCACTACTCTAGAAATGGTAAGTTTGTTATCCTTAAGTATAAAATATAATAGCCTATTATCCTTCTAATAATTTCAAAATAAAAACTTAACTGCAATAATTTCATAAAGGCCAACCCCAGACTATTGGTTGAAGCATTGTATAGTTGCTTCTATTTTCTTGAAGATAGTGATTAAAATTTATTGTTTGGAAGTAATTTGAGCAAATAACATTTTAGCTACTACTGTAATATTTTTTTAAGTAATATTTTTGAAAGATTTGGTGATGGCATGACAATTCCTTACCCTTGAAAAATTGCCCAAAGACCATGAATAACTTACAACTAAGTGTAGGGTCAAATGTAATGCAAAGTGTAAGCTATCAAATACAGTACAAGCAATTATAAATAATATCGGATCATGTTATGACAAGTATTTACAGTTTACACCTATGACTCAGTTCGCATTTATTTACAAAAACTTAAGCGCAATTCAACAATTTTGAGTTATGTTCCAGCGTGAGTGTATCTCCATACATACTGGCCAGGCTGGAGTGCAGATGGGCAATGCTTGTTGGGAGTTGTACTGCCTGGAACATGGCATACAGCCCGATGGACAGATGCCCTCTGATAAGACGACCGGTGGAGGGGATGACAGCTTCAACACGTTTTTCAGTGAGACAGGCGCGGGAAAACATGTACCTCGTGCAGTTTTTGTGGATCTGGAGCCTACTGTTGTAGGTTAGTAAAAAAACAATTAGTTTGAGTCAGCTAAGCGAGAAAAAAAGTTTTTACGGGACTTGGTTTGTATAACTGATGGTAACTTACTGGTATTACTGGCATGCATGAGAACATATTTGTAAACCTCTTCTGCAAACCACTATTTCAGTGATGATAAAGATAATAATTGTATAGTTAAAGACAAAGACAAAAGTTATAAAAATATGATATATCAACACCGCTACCGGTAGCTAAGTCAGTTATAGCTGGCAAGAAAAGAAGCTATTTCACTTTTAAAATTTTAATCATTTTGGATTTAGACCTAGAAGTTATTCTAAGATGTAGTTTAGGAATCAACTTTTTTTCAAATTTTAGACGTAGCCTAGCCTATATTAAATCTTAAAAAACTCATGTGACAAGTTTGGATTTAGACCTAGAAATTATTCTAAGATGTAGTTTAGGAATCAGCTTTTTTTCAAATTTTAGACGTATATTAAATCTTACAAAACTCATGTGAAAAGGTGACTGAATCAATTATCACAACTTCAATCATCATGGTTTCAACAACAAACATAATGATCAGATATTTACAGAAGGCCAATTGGAAAATAAGTTACTAGGTACTCAGAATAGAGCTTTGGCCAATTTGTTATCTCAAGTTGCTAAAGAATTATAGACTTAAACTTTGATTTCAACTGCTTTAGAATTGAGCAGTGTACGGGCATGGTGGGGACTTGACCAGTCAGGAAGAAGCAGTTGTCACAGCAAAGGTTGTATTGCATGTTGCCAAAATTTCCGTTATAGTCTTGGTCAGCCCGAGCCGCCAGCCCCCCTCCCCCACCATATGTCAGTGTTCTTCTCAATCCTAAAGCAGTTTACATAAAATTATTAAAACCTTAGTAAAATGTTGTTCACAACAGATGAGGTAAGGACAGGCACCTACCGTCAACTGTTTCATCCTGAACAGTTGATCACAGGCAAGGAAGACGCAGCCAACAACTACGCCCGAGGGCATTACACCATTGGGAAAGAAATTGTTGACTTGGTTTTGGACAGGTAAATATGTTGTAACAAAATTTTTTAAGTCAACTCCTAGATAAGCTTTAGATTATATCAATCTACTCCTAGTGCTGTAAAGATACAAAGTTGATGTGCATCAGGTGTTTTTTTATGGGTACCTACTTGAAATATCTGTAAATAAATGGAATTATATAGCCTATGGATACATCTCCGTCAATCAATTCCAAAACTGAACATTAATTGACTATGTACGTTAACATTACCTTACCACTGTGGCCATTTAAACCGAAGTACTGTAGGTTTTTGGCCTCCGCAACGATGTGCCTCCAGTCTTCCCTGGTCCTCGGCTTGCTCCTAGGTAACTCCTAACCTTCTTAGGTATTTTTCCACTTCATTTTTTTTTTATCTAAGTCTTGGCCTTCCTAGCGGTCTGGTGCCTGCTTGTGTCCTCTCAAATACTTCTTTAATAAGAGCATTTTCGGGTAATCTCGCCACAAGGCCTTGCCCATCTCTGCTTTTAATTTAATCCGCTTTTAATGATGGCTATTATGTCCGGATGTTTGTACAGAGTTCTTAGTTCTTGATTTCTTTGGATTCTCCAATCACCATTTTCATTTATTGAGCTACACTGTATGTTTTCCTTAAATCTTGTTTTCAAAAACTACACCGTAAATCTTTTCTTAGAGTTTTTGCGGAGGACTAAATTTTCTGTGCCATAAAGAAGAATTGTTAGTATTGAGTGGTACATTCTTAGTTTTGTTGTTTTTGAAAGTTGTTTTTAGATTAGCAATTTTACTACAGAGAATAAGATGCATTAAATAAAATGTCTAAATATAGATAAAAGTTTTATTATTGATTTTCTCTTTATTTTGATCCATAAAACAATTTCCTGGAGTTTGGCTCTTTACTTAAGGACACACTGTATATTTTTTAAAGTTATTTATGCATACAGTCTATGTTACTTATATTATGTATTTCATAAAACCTTAGGATCAGGAAGCTGGCTGATCAATGTACAGGGTTACAAGGGTTCCTCATTTTCCACTCATTTGGAGGAGGCACAGGCTCTGGCTTTGCTTCTCTGTTGATGGAAAGACTTTCGGTCGACTATGGGAAAAAGAGTAAACTGGAATACGCTATCTACCCTGCACCACAGGTAACAAGCAGTGAGTTGTAACTGTAGTAGGAGTGTCCTATCAAGTAAATAAGAAGTTGCAGACATAGAGAGAGTTTATTGTTATTAGATCACAATACATTATTAGAGGCCATTATAATACCATAACAGGATAATACGATAAAAAGAATATTTTTTTATACTTGGAAATGTATTGGATACAGTCTGAAAAGAATCTGTAACTTTCGTAGAAGGAGTGTGGTAATCAAGTTACATTTTTTAACCATCAGTTAGAAAATTGTTGTACTACCTATTTTTAGAAAGTTTTCCTATAGGGAAGTAGCTATTTTCTTATACATTTGGCATGTACCATGCCATATATCTTAAATCATGGAAATTCAATTATATATACTTTCATAGTGCAATAAAAAACAAAATCTCAGGTAATTATAGCTAATTTCATATTTGTATAGAGCTGAAATTGCTGAGAATTCAATTTTGATACATTCACTTGTTCCAATAGTGATGAAAATACAATAGATCACCTTTCTACAGGTATCCACGGCTGTAGTTGAGCCTTACAACTCTATCCTGACCACTCATACAACCCTGGAGCACTCGGACTGTGCTTTCATGGCAGACAACGAGGCAATATACGACATTTGCCGACGGAACCTCGACATTGAGCGACCGACTTACACCAACCTCAACAGACTTCTTGGCCAGATTGTCTCATCAATAACCGCCTCGCTGCGATTTGATGGAGCCCTCAACGTCGACTTGACAGAGTTCCAGACTAACCTCGTACCTTATCCTCGGATACATTTCCCATTGGTAACTTACGCTCCAGTGATATCCGCAGAGAAAGCGTACCACGAGCAACTGTCTGTTGGGGAGATCACCAACGCTTGCTTTGAGCCGGCCAACCAGATGGTGAAGTGTGACCCTCGGCATGGCAAGTACATGGCGTGTTGTGTCTTGTACAGAGGAGACGTTGTGCCCAAGGATGTTAACGCTGCCATTGCAACCATTAAAACTAAAAGGACCATTCAGTTTGTGGATTGGTGTCCTACCGGATTCAAGGTGAGTGGTATATTAGTGAGCCTCATCTAACAATCAAAAGGTCACCAGTTTTATCCTGAGAAAATCAGTAGCAATAATAATAGACGGGTCCTAACTGATCTCAGCTGCCCTTGATCATTGCTGGTATTTCAATAAAACTGTCCTGGCTAAAGAAACAGCTGATCTGAGTCTGTGACAAAGCTACACAGATCATCTCACTCCATTCTACCACACCTCATTCTTTTGAAAGGACACAAAACATTTTACTCTAAAATCTAATTTTTAGTTGACGATGTGATTATTTAAAATATATTTTTATTTTAGTGTTTTAATCAAATAATTCATTGCTGAAATCCTGGTTGTATCCAAAATAAATACTTGAGAAGGAGATATTTGGAGGGAGGATAAGTAAACCATTTTGGTGGCTTCCGTTGGAAAGTTTGAAAAGTTTGGGCCTTTTGAGTTTTAAATACGCCTATAAAGGAAAGGAGTTTTCTTGTTCTAGATGATTATAGCTTGAAATAATTCCAGCTTCAAACACGCACCCTGGAATGTCGGGGTCTTATACTGTAAATCCATTTAACCTGAGTGAATCATGGAATAAACAAGAAATGGATTGCTTAAAGTTATAAGCTGTAAATTTTACAATAAATATAGTAGTGTGTGCATCTATGGTGTAAACCAGGGGTTTCCAAATTTTTTCACAAAAGGGCCAGGATGTTGGCATTGATCTTGGAGGCCAAAGCCGGGCCACCGTAACCGGGTTCTCTCTCCCAGAAATTTGTGCAAAATTATACTTGCAAAATTCGGTCCAAAACTGTACAACGACCTCCCCTCTGGCCTCAAAAAGTATTCTTTATCATCATTTAGAGTTAAGATCAAAGAATTGTGCACTGATGGTTAATTATTGTTACTCATATTGTCTTGTTTCTGTTTTGTTATTGCTCTATTTATTTGTTGTTAGTTTTATATTGTTTTTGACGAAAGTTGTTCTGAGAAGCAGTATTTGTACTGAGAAACGCTTAATAAATAAAGGCATTTTTTATTTTTTATTTTATTTTTTTTTTTAAATCTACATTTTAAGCTTTCTGACAAATAAAAAGTTTAATCTCTTACAATCTGAAAAGGGGGGTTTAAGAGCAAAAATCTATGGAAAAGGCACACTTGTTTCACATTTGGTGCGATGACTCACCAGAGCGGAAAATGACCACCTGGCACTGGGGTAGTGAGTGTCATCTTGGTTCAGCTACAGCTACGATCGTAATTTTTCACACATCGCTCATGCCAACGCAAAAAATACCGTACAAAAAACTCTCCTGGTCTGCGGGCCGTAGCTTGGAGACCCCTGCTGTAAACCATGTACACTCCTTATCTGACACTTTTTGATGTGCCACCAGGTGGGTATCAACTACCAGCCGCCGACTGTAGTACCAGGAGGGGACCTGGCCAAGGTACAGCGAGCTGTCTGTATGTTGTCCAACACCACTGCTATAGCCGAGGCATGGGCTCGTCTGGACCACAAGTTTGACCTCATGTATGCCAAGCGCGCCTTTGTCCACTGGTACGTCGGTGAAGGCATGGAAGAAGGAGAGTTCAGCGAAGCAAGAGAAGATTTGGCAGCGCTGGAGAAAGACTACGAAGAAGTCGGTCTCGACTCAGTGGAGGGTGAAGGCGAAGGTGGAGAGGATTAGATTTTGTGACTCAAAAAATTTATAATTTAATTTTTATTAATTTTCAATCATTGTTGTCTGGAATTTTCGGTTTTGGAAACTTAAACAACTTAAAGAAATTTTTAAATTGTTGAGGATGTAGAAAATTGTATTCTTATGCCGACTACAAATAATTCTATGGAATTTTTATAAATACAGTTGTTTTCTCAAATTTGCAGATTTTTTTTATTGAGTACCTACCATACTTTATGAAATTTAAACTTATTTATTTGTTGATGCATTAATATACTGTAGACTCCCTCTTATCCTAACATCTTTTAACTGGACATTGGTTTAACCAGACTAGACTCGGCAGAGATGCCATCTCTTTAACCGGCCAATTTTTATCCACACATCAGTTTAACACGGCTGAATCGGCAAGAAGTGGGCCATACTGAATCGAATTTATTGTGGGATAGACTTGAGACCAGTAATAATGTGTCTAAATACAATGCTCTCCCAAATTTAAGAAAATAATTTGGGTTCGTTTTTGAGTGGTTGATTTAGTATGTGCATTAAGTTTTTTAGGGGACTTCGGTTTAACAGGAAACCCGTTATACGGACTGGCCTCGGAAGTGACTACAGTATAACCTATAAACAATTCAATTTAAAGTTTCAAAAAATCAATCATTAATTTGAAGAATATGTCAATGACCAGTTATAAACAAAAAAAAATTAAAATAAATAGTCGGTGTGTATACCTACCAAAGCTGATATAGTCTGAATAGTCTGATTGCAGTTGGTTTTACAGTGCTTGCATGCATAATATGAAGTTTTCTGGTTCATTCCCAGCGATTCTTTACCATGATACCATTCTCATTCGGTAATCTTGTCATTGGTAATCATTGTCATTGGGTCATTATGGATCACAGTCCATGATCTTATAACGGGTGGTCCATAATAACCACTAACAGTTTTTTTTGTAACAGCTCAGCTAATTCATGGATTAGAGAGGTGATTTTTGCGTAAAATGGTTCCTTAATTAATAGCATTTTTTGTAATTATAAGTTGTTCAAACTATTTCAACTTTTCTAATGGAGGTAGCATAAAAATAAATAATAAGTTAAATATATGCAATGTCGAACTATCGTTGGTTAGCAGGATCGAGTGTCGACTTTGTAACCAGTCCAATGTGACTGAAAAACACATTATTCTGGACTGCGATGGACTACGGGCTAGGAAAAGAACTCTGTTTGGTCTAAAGCAGCCAGGTGATGAACCAGACGGACGCTAACATTGGGCTCCTAAACCTAGTCAAGGACACAGGCATAGGTTTACCCAGTTAGTGGAAAGTGGGATTCACAATAAGCTTCGGTTGACGTGCTTGGACCATGAGTCCTCCCCTCTTACAATCAATCAATCAATCGTTGGTTATCGTCAACTCGCCATCACCTGGTTGCAGAATGCAGCTGCACAGTATCCAGACCTAACGCCTTGAGATTTCTGGTTGTGGGGCAACTTGAAGAACAAGGTTTTTGCCACAAAACCTCAAACTATTGCAGATCTGAAGAACAGATCCGTAAGAAATTGCCGAAATACCAATGCTCACAATACGACGGGTGATTGCAAGTTTCCAAAAAAGATTGGAAACATGCTTGGATGTCGGTGGACATCATTATGAGAGGGATGTAATCTCTATATATAAATGTGAAATTCCGATCAACGCACAGGCCAAACCATAGCACCTATAGAAGCATGAGATTTTGCATACATATTCCTCTCATAACGTAGGCAGACAATAACAGTGGAGGATCCAGAGGGGGGACGAAGGGGTTGACCGCTCCCCCTTGGGCATACATATACATATATTTTTTACTGCATGTAATACAGTAGTGCATAAAAATTGCGTAAAATAATTTGTCACACTAACTTAGGACAAAGAAATGGTAGGCCTATAAAACTGCCATTTTGGAGACTTAGTTTTAAACACATTTTTCGGGAGGGGGGGGGGGGGTACCCCCAGACCCCCTGGTTCGCCTCTTGTGGCTGTTCTAGATCCGCCACTGGACAATAAGAAGCGATTTTCAAAATTTCTACATGGACGTAAACAACACATTGTTTCATGGCCATCTGTTTTGATGTATACAAAAATGTTAACTATAAAAGTTCAGATGATTGACAACAGAATTCAGCACAAACTTTTACATTTTAAAAGCCTAGGACAAGGGTTTTCACAGGATTATCATCCAAACCAGCAAAAGGCGCACAGCTAGGGGAAAAGATCTTTTTAAATTTATCTTTTATTTTCAGGGGTCGAATTGCTGCATACAAAAATCCAAAAAATTATTTTAATAATATAAATGAATTTAATAACCTCAATGTCTAAACGTTTATAAAAAGGTTTGAAGTTTGAATTGAAATACCACACGCAGTGTAGTGTACCCGTGTACCTCAACAACAACAACACAACGAACAAAACTTACCATTCTGTCTGTCTATGAGCGTGACTCAGATAGTTGGAAGATTTGCCACAAGATGGCAGCGCTGTCGCTGCTGTCGTCAATGCGCGTCCCCGCGTCCCTCTTTGAAGCTTCTGCTTCATAAAATCAATAAACAATGATGGCGTCGGTAGCCTAACAGGCAGTGATTTCTCTGTCGTGATTGTTGTTAAAACCGCAGTGATACCGCGTAATATTCGGATACGTAAGTCGTGACGACATTATCTCTGTGAAGTTAATAATAGTGAACAGAACCGACAAGAGTAAACGCCGTTTTGTCGGCATAAATCGTAAGTAGACAACTGCATCTGCATGCATGTGGGTGGTGCTGTCAAACACACGTTACCGTATGTTTTGTTTCGTGAAATAAATGCGCATTGTAGGCACAAATTAGTGTGGATCGTTAATGAATTGTTAAACGTCGAGTATTTTACAACGTTCATTCACTGTCATTCAAGAAACAACTTCTGTCAAACGAGGAGTGGGGAATGATAAACATTTATAAGTTAAACCACAGATTTGTATGTTGTTTATTTTGTTAATTTGATCTCTTAAATCGCTTATAGTTACGGAAATTATATTTTTTCATGTTCTTGGATTGAAAATGTGTAGATTTTTTAAATTTAATTGCTTTTATTCTTACCTAATAATTAAGTTTGCTGTACCGGTTGATGGCATATCAGATTCATAAAATATCTATTATGTTTTGTAATCCTAACGTATTTTACATTACTCTATATTATGAGTTTAAATTTTCGCATTAACTTATAAGAAGGTCTAAATTAGATCAAGTACTGTGCAGACTATTTTATATAGTAAATGTTGCATTATTAAATTGTCAACAACTGTTTAGTTTATATATGTTATGTCATTATAATATGGGGTAGGGTCATTATAATAAGGGGTAGGACGCACCCCATGATTTTATTTTCATTATTTTCACAAAAAATCCATCAGGGATGGTACAGATACCACCATAACCCTACCTATCACTATCTATCCTGCAATTACCATTGGCTGTATGCTGTCTTTATTAACCGGATACCTCTGGGCCATTTAAAAACCTGTGTGGAATTGTTTGTAAATAGATAATTGGTTATCCTAAACAACAAAACTATCATTGTAATAAATAAATGGGCCTTAATGATTCAATGTTAATGGTACCTAGTAAAGACTGCTGGTCTCTAAATTATTCCAGTAATCAGCCATACTTTTTCAATACTCTTTTGATTATCAAAGGAATAATTCAGAATGTGTCTGTATGATTTTAATTTTAAATTTTTAAACCTTTCTTTTCAAACCAAGAGGTGTTCATTTAATTTGGGAATAACTTAACTTTTCCAGTTAATAATTGTTGTAATTTTGAATTAGCAGAAGAAAGATTAAATACCAAAGGTTGACACATTCACCCATGCATTCTCATATTAATGCTGTAGCCAATAAATTTAACTTGTTAAATATAACCTCTGACTAAGTTTTCTGCAGTGAAGTACTTGTTGCATCCAAGGAAGCCAAGCAAAGCAGAAAGTACATTTTTATGAAATAGGAAACGTTTTTCTTATTTTCACGCCACTTCAATAGGTATCTTTGTTTGGAAACTTAATTGTTTAACTTCTTGACATAATATGGGATGTTTACTCTAATTATGCTAAATTAAATTTTCGACCATGCGAGAAGCAAAGGAAACCCAAATGATTTATTTCCATTTTGAAAATGTTTAGTGGTGTACAGTAGAGTAATCACAAGCAAAATGAAATTGGATATTCTTAAATCTATTTATTTGTGTCATATGGTTCCTAGAAGGTAATTATAAGACTACAATGTATTTGATACTCTTCAATGTAATATAATAAATTAATGTATATAATGTATAATAAATTAGTAGACTAAATTACAGTGTATTATTATTACCAATCTACAAAGTAATCTCTGTTTTACATGCTTCTACAAACTTCATGCACAAATTTAATAATTAATTTTTTAAATAAATATTACCTTTGATACAACATTCTAATAGTCAATGATATTATAGTCTACAATTACACACACACAATTTGATTATTTATACTGACAAACTTATTGTTGAATTTAATTTTAACATTTAATTGCTAGAATTGATTAATTTTGCTGCAACTCAGCTATAATTAGTCTATGTTTTCTTATTAACTGTTAGGTTATGAGTAGTAACTAAGGAGAAGAATTCATCCTGATATAAAAATCACCTAATTCTAAAAATGCTCATCTGCATCTGGCAGTTTAGCCAAGATGTGGTAGGACCAAAGATTTACATGGAACAAAAATGCTCTGTGTTAAATAATTTCTTTTTAATGCAATGTGGTGTATAAATAATTCCACAAAACAGTCCTTTTAGATTAATTAACATGTTTTTAGGCTCAATTCTGTTCCAGCACTCCCTCTCTTAGTTTTGAGTGGTCTGTTTGAACTCGTTCATAAGGTTGGTTATAATTGTATAAGGCACTAAAATTAATCGGCATTAAAAAAAATGCCAAGTACTTCATAATAACAAAGATTACACATACTAAGCAAAACTTTGCGTAGCATGTGTAATCTTTGATAATAATAATACTCAATTGTCTTGACAATATACATTGTATTGACATTACAATTAATTTAGGAGGAGCCAGTCCGACCCTGCTTAATTTATGCATACAACTTTTATAAAATGAAATCATTAACTATTTGTAATGCACATTTTTCAAAACCAGATAATAAAGACGTTGAATAAGTTTTTGGCTCAATAATAATAATAATAAATAATAATAATATAAGAAAATGCATGAAAGTAATCTGAGATGCGTAAGTTTAATTGCATATGTTTGATAAGCTACAAAAGTTCTACGCCTAATACGTGATAATTTCCACACCTTCAGGTTTATTTGATAATTCTCACAGTTTTCTGAAACAACTTAAAATCTTACTCCCTCCGTACAACCAAAAAGTAGCCTACGATGGACATAAAATTTCTCAAATCCACCGTGCCTTCGCTTGTTGTACTAACACAGTTTTCTTATCACGTGGTGGTCCAATCTCTGTACTTACCGTTTCACTTGCCAATGCTTGGAGGTGTTGGTGTTATTGTAAACACCCATCAGCGAGCGTGGTGTGGGAGGGCCACTGATACTGTACACAACAGGTCACCAACATAACACAGTTTCGTCACAGATAGTACAGTGCAATTAGCTTAAAAAAAGAGCAAACCGGGACATAAAAAAAAGTTCCAAACCAGCGCCACATTGCCAAATACACTTCCCTCAATATGTAAAAAAAGTTACAATGAATTGAGTGTCGGGTTGGGGGGGGGGGGGGGTGAAAATGGGGTGAAAATAGGACCTTTTTTACTTTTTCGCAAATTACTAAAAAACGGTGCGTTTTTCTCATAATACAATGCTTTACAAAAATAATCTCTATTAAATTTCGAACAAAATGATACCATACAATACCTATCTACTATGAACGGTTCAGGCAATATTGAGGGGTAAATATTATTTGTTTCTTAAAATTCTAAAAAAGTTGTTTTTTAAATGGAGGAAAACCATGGACACCCATAAAAAAGTTTGTAATGGATGAAAAATCGTTGGGTAAACCTCCCTTAACATGTGTAAAAAAGTTACACTGATTTGAATGTCGGATTGGGGAAGGAGGGCTTCAAGAAAAATACAGGGGAATGGGACTTATTCTACTATTTTACAAATATCTCGAAAACGGTGCGTTTTTATTATAATGAATTACGAACTAAATACCATTTCGGCCTCTGGTATCGATAAGTAAAACACACAAAACATGCTTCAGAGTTGATAAGTAATAAAATAGTCCCTAGATATTTGTTTTATCTTTACAATTAATTTTGAACATCGAAGCGCTGAAATGCATTGATTGATATCGAACCGAAAAGGATGATATGTAAGCTAAATTAGAAATACGCCACTGTATTTCAAGCCAGACAAACTTAGATTCCCAATTAGTTCAGATTAATGAAGGTGTACTGTAAGACCTAATAATGTTGAAGGTGCTTTTTTTCTTATTAAACACAGGGTGAAAAAGTCCCGAACAATAATAATTTACCAAATACAAAAACAGTAAATTAGAACACAAGTGCACGAACAAATAATCTAGAGTATGTTGTGTATCAGACAACCTCATACACCTCAAACTTTGAGTTTTAAAATTTAAAATATATAAATGCATTTTTTTGTACATTTTTCAATCTCGTAATAAAATACACTTGATCGGACATTAGGACTGAAACTATTTCCCTTAAAAATAAAATTCTTTGAGACACCGTCTTGGGATTAATATGAAGTACGGGATTCCCAAATCCCAGGATTTACTTGCTGTCTACACCGATACATGTCAAAACGGGTCTGTCTGTCGGATTATCGTGATGACATTATGGTCGGAATTTCCCCCATCTTGTGAACTGTTTCCTTATCCTTACATCTGTTCTCAGAGGTAAGTGAAAGGAATGTGGTCCAGACCACTGATGAAGGAAGTAAAACATTGCTTTGACGACGATCTGCGTTAAATTCCACATTGATCTGTTATTTGTTATTTCATGTGTATTTTCTGAATTTACTTGGTGGCGATTATTTAATGATCTTAGAACTGTTACAGCCAAGAACTTGTTATGTAGCATCATGTGAGTCTGTTTTTCATCTCAAAATGAAATGAAATAAAATGAAATAATATTTTATTTCCCATTAATTATTTACAGATAAGTACATTGTATTTTTTTTCTTTACTTAAATATGATACAGCAAAACATTACTATTGGATAACAAAATAAAAATTATATACTGTAGAAATAAGTGAATAAAAGTGTAAAAAAATACATTCTATAGGAAAGGAAAAAGTCTACATAGGCAGGGCCTGTGCGTAGACTCGAGTTGCGAAAAGATTAATTTAAATGGGAAGTAATAAATATATAGGAGAAAAAAACCGTATAATTTAAACTTTTTTTTATTTGTCTTGCTTGAAACTGGTTTTTTAGTGTTCTGGAATAAATTTACGATAAAAAAAACTCTTTGTGCAAACAAAGGCAATTTATAAAAATCTAGTGAAGATTGAAGAGGAGAGATGGAGTGTGGTGTATTAGTCAGTCAGTGAAAGTGGTGTATCAGTGATTGTGTAGGGTGCTCAAATTCAGTGATTGTGCTCAAATTCATGCACAAATCTAAATACAGTGTCACCAAACCTTAGAATCTAACGCACGAAGTTTTGTTACAGTAAAAATTGCTATGAAAAAAGTAAGGCTGGGTGCCAAGTTATACCAGTTGATTTAATATTTTGTGTACCTTAAACCTTGACTATGGATATAATTTAGAAGTTCCATCCCCGTGCTAATGTTGAAACCAGTTTTTTAAGAAATGAAAATTCATTGAATGAGCCATCAACAGAATGATCTAATGTAAATTAACGATTTTTGTCGGATACGTCAACTTGTTAACCGAGTAAAACTAAAAGGACCAGTTTAACCTATCGGGTCTTTCATTTATACCAACTATTAACAAAAAGATAGGGATAAAATATAAGTTTGGCAGTGGCTTACTTTGTCAAAGGATCGTTTTCCTGTGTCATTTTTGTAAACTAAATTGCTGCAGCGGGTTTTTATAAACGATGTATTTACTCGGTATCCATAAGTAATGCTACAATTAAAATATATTAATTTTGTTACCGTATGTGATCCCTCCTGGTAGTGATAAATAATAGCTCTCCGTGGGTATAGTGGTACAGCGTTTTTTTTTTAAATACTCAAGGGTATCACGACAAATTTTCTATTAGTCTTGATTACTAAGGTGAATTTCCATCAGCTGGCCACACTGGTGGTCCCAAATCAGCTGATCGAACATGTGTTTTGTTGGTCGGATTGCAGGAAGATGTACCGTTATGCTGCCATACTCCCCGACGGGGCCCCATACCATAACCCGTCAGGCTGGTCGCTGGTCCGCTACCGCCACGTCGTCGTCGCCCTGGAATCAGCGTTTTTCAAAATTTGAATATCTCGTCGATTTTGTAAGCATTTAGAACTTGCTGAATTAGCTTATTCGAAGTTATTTGAACTCTACTCATTAATGCGGATTTTGTTTGTGTGCAGATTTTTTATCTTCGCTTGAAAATTACTTTCAAAGCTAGACGGGGTTGTATGTGTATAAAACAGTAAAGAAATATAAAATACATACAGAAACCAAGAGTTTCAAAGTAAACTCTCTCTTGTTCAAGGTATAAATTCTTTTGGTAATCAACTGGTTGTTTTAGAAAGCAAATCGTATTAGTTTGATTTTAATTCTCATAAAACCAATATCAAAAGTTATCATTTTCCATTTCCATTAGTTTATTTGTACAATTGTATTTTAACCATATGAATTGCCTTTAATCACAGACAGGAGACCATCCCTTGGCCTATAGTTGTAATTTACTGGTTAGAACTTGTGGATTTTATAAACCGAACACAGATAAACGATATTCGTTTTGTGTGATTTTTTATCAAATGTTCGCTCAATTGACTCTATTATGAGTGATTAATATTGCGTAATAATACGGGTGTATTATTTATGGATGTGTGTCAACTAGCTATTGTAGGAACTTCAGTTTAATGTTCCGTACGGTAATCGTTGGTTCAAATAACACGCCGTTCACAAACTGTGTTCACAAACCTAGTTATGCTTACTGTTGGTTGTTATTATGCTTACTGATAATTTGATAAAAACATTTTTGGGGGGAGCAAAATTCTTCATTGCTGGAAGCTTCAGTTAACTTTAACAAATCCAGTCCAAGCCTAAACTAGAACAATGCTAGAACGCTAGAATTATTGTAGTTTTTGGTGCAAATATTCATGTCAAGTTTATTTGGTAAGAAGGCAGTCGCATAGTAGCTTAGACAAATATGGCCATCTACAGTATTTTGCATTGGGAAAGATAAGAATTGCCTCTTTACCGCACTCGTAAGAAAGATACGTAAATTCCCTTACCTCTTCTAGCTCTCATCAATCGATTCCAAGCTCTGGAGAAGAATAGAATTGTTCCTGCTGTCTCGCAAAATCGATGCTAGATTGGCGTAGAAAACCCCAAAGGAAGCGAGAGGGATTAATCAAGACGGATAGAATAAACAAATTAAAGGGGGTGTTGCTCTTTCTGGCCAGAAGGTGTAAGGGAAGCTGTTATGTGTATCGGGATTGTTAAAAAACGCAAAAAGGTTGTTTTCCAATTATTATATCCATTGAAGATCTTCTGTTTAGAAAAAGAAAGATTTTTATGTGATAACTAGTTTACCCCGTCGTGGCTTTGCTCACTAAAATTTAAGTTAAACATTTGTAAGTTAAACTTTTTATTTATGGTTTCTTCATTTAACTGTTCCACTATGAGGAGCTCCAGACTGCTCACTCTGAAACCACATATATATATAAATTTTTTTTTTATAGAAAACAATTCCCGCTGTATCTCCTTTCACTTAGGCTTTCAAGCTTAAACCTAATTTTCCAATAGTACTGTCAGATCTCCCATAACTTATGGGAAAGTTTTATTTATCTTAAAGTAACATTAAGTGACATAAAAACCTTGCACGATGTTTTATTGTGGTTCTTATAACCCTCAAAGGCTCTAAAAAGTTGCAGGTCTACAGAGTCTATGATGTTTTCACCAAGAGAAATGTACTCAAATAAAAGTGGCTTTTATCACCTTTCCAGCCACCAAATACGTAAATTGGGATTGTAAAGCAACATACTCATCGAAAATTGCATGATTGTGACATTTTTTCCAAGGAATGGAAGTGATTGAACATATCAAGCACTTATGATCCCTCTTGAGCAGCCATTATAAAATAATCAAAAAGTAGTGATGTAGAAGAAGACAGGATGCCATCCCTTAAAATATTAGATGAAACTCGATTGCAAATGAATTGTTCCTTAGACATTGATATTGATATTCTGAACACATTAAATAATACTATATACTGTTAAAAGTTACTGAGAAACAGGTCTTAAAAAATTCAACAAAATAGTTAACACAAGGCTCATGTTAATTTTATACAATTTCAAATTAATTTTTGTGCTTATTTTTGAGTCTATTTTAATTTATAAATAGGTTCTGCACATCACAGGCAAATATCTTTCTAACATTGTGCGTGGATTTTCCATGAGATGCACACGAGCTGAGAAAAAAGGATTTTAAGAAACATGCTTGTCTATTAATATACTGTATAGATATCTTGATTTTTGAACTCATTTGACGATTACAAAAAGTTTTAAGCAGTAAAACACAAATTTTCAAGCCACAAAATAATGCAAACATTTTCATTTCAATCAAATAAATTAAACCAGCTGTTCCCTTAGTTAATAGTGTAAATTTCAAAAATATTCATCTGTTCAAATGTAAACAAATATTTTCTCCATACAGATAACATGGAAACTTTGGAAGCCACTGGGGCAGAGCCCTGACGGAATTTCATGAAAACGCTTCTTATTGCACACCTAGAGCCTAATTAGAATCTCCATTCCAATTCCTGAGTTGTTATGGTTAGTACTTTTTGAGATACAGTGATCAGTGAGTGGTATTCGACTTTTATAAGTATAGAAGATAGTCAGGAGATAGATTCTGTGTTGTAGCCCATCGTGTCATAAAAATATTCTTTTCGACCCCGTAAGCTCTTCAATAATGAATTAACCGTGATCACTGATCAGAATCTCCTAGAACCCTTTACTTTATAGCTTGTTGAAAGTCCTTCTTTGCAATGGCAGACAATTTTTATATCTGTTATCTGCTGCTTCTAATGTCCTCGTTTCCATAGCCGGTAGCCGGTCAAGTTTGGTGCATGTCTGTGTGTTTTGGCACGGAAGCACGCGCGAGCCTCGTGCTGACGGACGTGCCCAATCGTCCGTATTTCCTCCACTGCCATTGTCACTTTGGCCAGTTTGCACGAAACTTTCAGTATTGATGACGATGACTTCATTGCTGATTCACAGCTATGTCTATGTTGAAATAGGATGTTTGCTGAAACGGTTATACCAGTCTCGATTTTTTACTGATCTCTGATTTTCTGTTTTGACATTGAATTATTTCAACGTTTGAATTTATGTATTATTTTGGAATTGCGAGTTTTGAGTGAGGAATATTGAATAGAAGAACAATACAAGTGACTGGTGGTGCCTGCTGTTTATTACTGCTAAAGTCTTTATGCTGCTGGTTTAGTGATGGTATAGGACTAAAGGTTCAGGACGATAAGCCCAGAGCCCAGGTTCTGACCAGTGGCGCACGGTATGGGGCGACTACACAAGGGAGGGGTAGCCGTGCATGCCCCATAGCTCTCATAGGCTTGGCAAGGTACCCACCCGCTGCTGATAGCTTCTAAGATCACGTTATGTTGCAGGTCCAGTGATGGTGAAGGTTCAGGACGAGGAGCCCAGAGCTGGACAGGTGGCGGACCGTGGGGCGAGTACCCAAGGGGGCGGACGCCGCGGCTCTCATGGGCCCGGCAAGGTACCCGCCGCTGGGACTTCCAATGTAGCCACCCCTCACTTTCACTACCACTGGTCCTATCCTTCTACCACCGGCCCTAGCCCCACGCCCGCCACTTTCCACTTCGGGCCCGGGTTCGAACCTCAAACCTCCCCTCAGCAACACGTCGTCTACTTCCATGTCAACCCGGGTGTCACCGTCAGCTTCCAGACGGGCGACAACGTCCAAGTGATTAAAGGTAAGAGCGCTTGACGTGATACTTAGAAAGTGTGTAATTGGTTTCTTGTATGTTTTCTATTATTTGTATACAAAATGTTACAGCATGCGGACAATGCTGAAGTTGATACCTAAATATTTTAGGATGAATTGGTCGGATCGCAATTAACCCTTGTTTGTTAATTGGGTGGTCCATAAATAACAGATCATTTTAAAACAACCATCAATCAGCTGTTGTTGCGCGAAGAATTTGCATTGTTGTATTAAACAGCAAATGTCATTCCGTCATTCCGTGCATTTGGCATTGCATCTGAAATTGCAACTCAGCGGTTATTTTGAAATCATATCAACGTCCGTCGTCATGGTGCAGTTACCTATACGAATACTATCTATAGGTAAGTTTTAAATGAGCTAAGGGACATGTTCTCAAGAATAAACCTCCGGGGAGGTCAAAGTCTGCACGTACAGATGAGAACATCGCAAGAGTTTGGGATTTCCTTCTCCGAAGTCCAAAAAGATCGGCAAGAAAGCATTCTGTTGATTTAGGTGTTTCTAGTACCAGTTTACATTGTATTTTACATCACCATTTAAATTGACATTCACCTACAATCTGGTTGTTGCGCAGAAGCTCAATCAAGGTGACCCTAGATTACATCTGATGTTTCGTCAAATACCCTTTCAGCTGATTTAATTTAATTGAAGGCGAAAACCTTCTGGGGCGCCTTTATAATGCCACTTAAAATGTGCATTGTAAATAGCACAGTGTTGTACTGTCCAACGATCCATGATTTTTTTAAATGGCCTGACATTTGTTGTTAATACAACAATGACAATTCTACGCGTATCAACAGCTGATTGACATTTGTTTAAAAATGATCCGCTATTTATAGACCACCCCTTAGTTTCTTCGACCACAATTATCTACAATTAGAGAAGAACCTCAATTTGTTTATTCTTTATATTCTGGCCAGACTTTTGTCATTTCGAGACGGGTACCTGCGAAAGTTTATTTCTATCCCTCCGGTTCTCCTTTACAAACTGAAACGAACCATAGATTTCCGTTTAAAATTTAAAGATAATATTAACCTTGAGGACCGTCCAAAGTTTTGTTTCGCCAGTCAAAATAAAAATCATAACTTATCCCAAAGCCGTTGTAAAACTTGTCCAAATTAAAGAATTCTTCAGCAAGCACCAGGAAGCAGTGATGATGACGTAGCCTAGAGCCAGCTGGTAATCAGTTTATAGGGTGTGGGAGTAACTGACTCACCGCCAGCATGCTAATTGTGCTCCAGACCGCTCAACGCTCAGGGATTATGAAACGTGGCCTGATTATGAGTTCTCACAACGTCAAGGATGTAACATGAGGCAGTGAGGATCGGCTGCGGAGAAATCGCAAAACTCAACTACTAGACTGGTGTACATGGCCGTGAGACTACATTGTCTGCGATCTATGTTGCCAACTGTCAATGTTCCTAACTAAAGAATCGACTGATCGTTGTCACATTTTAGGAGAAATTTTCCCACTAATTGTTTCTGTAATTTAAATATTTGACGGCATATTGACTGAGGTCGTTTCATTGCACAGTGATTGTAGATAATGAGACAATATCAAGGCTGGGACAGTCCACATTGTACAGTGATTGTAGAGAAGGAGAAAATATCATGGCTGGGACAGTCCACATTGTACAGTGATTGTAGAGAAGGAAACAATATCATGGCTGGGACAGTCCACATTGTACAGTGATTGTATAGAAGGAAACAATATCATGGCTGGGACAGTCCACATTGTACAGTGATTGTAGAGAAGGAGACAATATCATGGCTGGGACAGTCCACATTGTACAGTGATTGTATAGAAGGAGACAATATCATGGCTGGGACAGTCCACATTGTACAGTGATTGTAGAGAAGGGGACAATATCATGGCTGGGACAGTCCACATTGTACAGTGATTGTAGAGAAGGGGACAATATCATGGCTGGGACAGTCCACATTGTACAGTGATTGTATAGAAGGAGACAATATCATGGCTGGGACAGTCCACATTGTACAGTGATTGTAGAGAAGGGGACAATATCATGGCTGGGACAGTCCACATTGTACAGTGATTGTAGAGAAGGAAACAATATCATGGCTGGGACAGTCCACATTGTACAGTGATTGTAGAGAAGGGGACAATATCATGGCTGGGACAGTCCACATTGTACAGTGATTGTATAGAAGGAGACAATATCATGGCTGGGACAGTCCACATTGTACAGTGATTGTAGAGAAGGGGACAATATCATGGCTGGGACAGTCCACATTGTACAGTGATTGTAGAGAAGGAAACAATATCATGGCTGGGACAGTCCACATTGTACAGTGATTGTAGAGAAGGCGACAATATCATGGCTGGGACAGTCCACATTGTACAGTGATTGTGAGAAGGAGACAATATCATGGCTGGGACAGTCAACATTGTACAGTGATTGTAGAGAAGGAGACGATATCATGGCTGGGACAGTCCACATTGTACAGTGATTGTGAGAAGGAGACAATATCATGGCTGGGACACCACATTGTACAGTGATTGTAGAGAAGGAGGCAATATCATGGCTGGGACAGTCCACATTGTACAGTGATAGTGAGAAGGAGACAATATCATGGCTGGGACACCACATTGTACAGTGATTGTAGAGAAGGAGGCAATATCATGGCTGGGACAGTCAACATTGTACAGTGATTGTAGAGAAGGAGACAATATCATGGCTGGGACAGTCCACATTGTACAGTGATTGTCGCAGGACACGGACGGTAACGCACAAGGTCGATGGCTCGCGATGCGATTGTCTGATGCTCGCCAATTACCTAATTACCAGCTTCCGCCTCTGCCATGGTCGCATTGTCTAAGATAAGATCAGTAGCCTACTCTCATTGCTACCGAAGTGTCAACACCACAAGCTGGCTAGGAATGAATCTGAAAACAATTTTCTTGTTGAGGAATCAAAAGATCCATTGTAGAAAAAAATCTGTTTCCTGCAATGAAATATTACTTTAGATTTTTGTAGTATCTGAATATTTAGAATGGAATGAAGCCATTCTTTCTGTAACATGAAATCCAGAATACATTTTCGACCCGCTTAAAAATAATGGAACATGCACAACTTTTAAAAATTTGCAAGTCCTTGGTGAGTTGCAATCGTGATTGAGACAAGAAAAGATCTCGGACTTGGCCTGAAAGAGCCAAACTATTTCTCGACGCAAACCTGCAATAGTTAATACTGCAAACTTTATAATATAAATACTAATACCCTTTCCTCTTCATCTGCAGTGATCTGAATTCCAAAATACTCCTCGGCTGGAGGTACTGCAGTCTGAGTGTGTCACGGATGACACTCTTGCGATGACGCGATCGTAGTCTTGTGATTGTAGTTTACGAGCCAGCTGGCGAATGGGTTGATTTACTTTTTGACATTTGAACACATCTCGGGGCCGCCTCCCCCCGTCATGTTCCCGATGCATCCCGCGGGTCAAGTTGATTAACCCGGCGCTTCCCGATCTATGTCCCTAGTTTGTTTGGTTGGATGTTTCTAATGATAAAATCATTTCGAATTTGGTTTTGGTAGCGTTCCTCGGTATCTATTTCGGATGTAAATACCAGATTCAATTACGGTATGTTACTTTTACAGAGCATTAAAAAGGCATAGTACTCAATTCTTTGCCATCTAAGGAAAATCAAACGCGAATCCGCAGAGAACCCTCTACAGTACGAACCCCTTTCAGTATCCGACCGTCCAAGTCCAATGTAATTTCCAAGCACAACGTTGGAAACTGGCGAAACTCTACAGACTATACGTCGTCAAACTGCATATTGGGTGCAAACCTCTGCGCCAATGAAGGTTATGAAATGGAGAAAGGTGAGAGGGATTCGAAGAAACATCAATAACGACAGCAGCCTCCGTGAAAGCCTTGCATAAGTCTTCGTCTTCCTTATCGCCCGTTTTGTCCCAAATTACAGAGTCCGCGTGTAACGAGCTATTTTCCCTAGGGGGGTATATTTTTGCTATTTGGCCGCGCACCGATTGTTGAGGTGAGCTAGTGGCGGCGGCGAAGCTAGCGAGCGCCCTTTGACCCGGCTTATCAGTGCCGATAAGCCTGGGATATCCTAGATGTTCAGGATAGCCTAGGACAGACATTCTAGTGGTGGATCCCGTACAGTGAAGAAGGCAGTGTTGGTGTCCAGTGGAGACGGCCGGCGTACGTGGGTGGTACAGAGAAGTGTACGGTGTCGTGTGAGATTGGTGCTCAAGGAGTGAGTGTCGGCATTCAAGTTGGGTAGTGAGACAGTGACCCACTTGTGGTGAGTGGACGACGTTTTATTATATTTTGGTTTAAGAGAGTTAGAGAGTTAGAGTTGTAACCGTGCTGGTCAAAGCCTGACGGTAGTTAGGATTTATTTACAGGTGTCAGGAATAAAAAGTATATTCCTGACGGTTCTGGGCAGGTGCCAGAGCGCAAATAATATAATTTAATTGACTATAGTAAATATTATTTTGCGTTGTACCTAGAGTTAGTTATATTACTAATAACTCTGAGGCCCGACAAACCTAGGCTGCACGATTTAGCGTGCGTAGTTGGAAGCACGAGGCCAGTAGGCTAGTAGCTAATATTATTAGCCGATTAACAGAAGCCCAGCTAAGTAACATAAAGTTGGTAGTAGCAGTAGCAGTAGTAGGGTTGTTATTGTTTATTCATTTGATTATTTTAATTTAACCTGAACAGCTTGTTTGGTAATCCAACACGTTATCTTGGTAGCTTGGATAGCGGAGTACCGGCTATCAGATAATATAATTATCTAGTGTTTGGATCGTATTTAGTATTTATTTATCTACTACTAAGTAGCTCAATATTTTAATAGTGCAATTGCCATTTAGTTTTGCTTGTTTGGCTTGGTATTTATTGAGACCAGCTACTAGTGGTGTAGTCACTCTACCTATAGTGTACTTGTATATTATTATGTGGTACGATTATTGAGTGAAC